CAGAAGCATGAGAAGGTAATTAAGCTACAAGACAGGCGATAGTTTCAAGGCGGTGTAGTTACTCACTGTCCATTCATTGTCATGCTGCAAATGCAGACCATCTCGACGTTCACGGATTGCGCACAATACGGTAACAGGTTCGCCTTCCAGGAAACCTGAACCAACGTGGAGTGAAGTGGCCTCTGCAGCACTGGAGAGGTAAAAATTTTTCTTTATTGGTCAAGCTTTTGTTTGATATCAGCTGCCGCATAATTTTTGGGATTCAAAACATTGACCACAGCATTGTGCTTGTGCCTCGGCATTTTTTGATATATTTTTTTTACTAGAATCATCACTACTCCTTCAGTAATTATTTACTATTACTGCCAAAGAATACACTATTTTTGGATTCACTAATGTAGACGGGCTGCTTTGGTACACTAAAAACACAAGATCGAGCAAAACGAGTGTGAAATCTCTTTTGGAAGAAACGATCACCGACCTCGATCACCTTCCTTGAAAGTGTAGGCATCTCCCTAGCGTCGATGCTTTATTTTGATTTGGAGCTAAGAAGAAGCAGCATGACTTGTGCTCCAATTACACTACACTACTACACTACAAATACATACAAACATAACTACATACATACATAACTACAAATACATACAGTATAGACATTTTGTGTTTTTGGAAATTTGTAACCGATTGAGTGATGAAGTGATGAGTGTCATGTAAATCTCAACTTTAGGTACAATGAATTGTTTGATGTGTTTCAATTTAGTTTCACGAATAGAGAAACTTTACGTGATGAGCGAGTCTCTCAGTGGATGGATGAGCTTGTTCGAAACACGGACAGGGTGAGTTACTACTTCACTAGTGTCTACTGTTCTGTTTTTTCTTCAGTTTTTGTCCAGCACATAATTAAATTCGAGGAATGGCTCCGAAATACTCAGTTACAGCAGATTTCCGAATGAATGTTATTACTTTTTTTATGAGTTCCAGCTTCTGTCGTTGCCCAGTACCTCACAGAGCACCAGTGAGGAAACGTGCCAGGGGGATTCTTCTCGATCTAGTGTAGAATCTGACTGGACTCCTCCGAGAGAATCATGGATTTATACCACTACCGCCCCCGAAGAATCTGGAGCGAATTTTCGCTCTTGGGCTGAGCGGTGCGATTTGTTTTCGCGCCATTGCAAGCTGGCCACTGTGTTGCTGCCATTGTGCTTTTATAAATCTATGAATTGAGTCAGAATGACATTCTTTACAGCATGTTTTCCAGCGTAACGGTTCTGCTTAAAGCTCAGAATTATCGTTGTTTTGGGTGCGGAATCCGGGTGGTATTTCGGTCAGTGAGGTGAGGTTGTTTCAGTTTCCCAAAACTTCTTTCGTTGTGAGTGCTTTGTTTCAGATACTGTGATTATTTCGGGAAAGTTTTCTGTCAATGCTGTCACCAAGGTTCAAAATCAATAATTCCCGCTAGAATATTGCATACGTGGAATTTTAAGTAGGTTTCCGCATAACATTCATTCCATCCACATCGAATAAGTTTCGGGACTTCCTTGTTTGCTTTCTTTGCAAATTCTATTCATTCCTTATTTCAGCTTGTCTGTTTCCCATCCATACAAAGTTGTGTGTTTTCAGTGAATTTCCTGTCTGTGATCTTGCCTTACACTTTTATTAGAAAGTGTCGTGATTGTGGCCTGCACCCAGTCGATTATGATCCACAAAATGGTAAGTACTTGTGTGATTGTTGAAGGTTGGGGCCGCGGCGCTTGAATTGGCAAAATCAGTAGGACTTTCAGGTTGTAAAAATCAGAGGTCCCATTGAAGTTATACGAAACTTTCTCACATGTGGGATTTTGTGAAAGGATGCCCTGATGCAGAGAATACAGAGACGAAGATTGGGCAGTAAGTCTTTTTTGTACCAGTCGAGAAGGATCTTTTTCTCTTCCCTTATTTCTTTTTTCTTTCTTCGCAGTCTTGCTAATTCCTTTTGTTACGCCCTCGAAATTATTCGATCCTCCGAATATGTAGGTATTGATCAATAGTGGTTTTTTGGTGTTTGGAGGTTTTGATAGAAGGAGCCTGCAGGATATGCTAGAGTGTTGTATTGTAGAACCATTTTCCCTTTTGAAAGCAAAAGTAGGTTTCATGATAAAAGTTCGACACCTGGGGCGGATTCAATCTCCCCCAAGGGTTAGGGGACGAAAATCCTTTAAATTTATTTGTTTTGAACGATATAGTTTCTTCATTTTCAGTGCATGTTTACTTTACCTACATACATACATTAAATGTAGGCCCTTTATCAGGACAATCCCAGTTGGGAAGACAGAGAAAATTTAAAGGGATTTTCGTCCCCAAACCCTTGGGGGAGGATTGAATCCTGCCCATGGCCCGCTTACTCATTCAGTGTCCCTTGATTTTTCTTCTCATATTTTCAAATGTTCGCTGTTTCTATCTATTTTTTGCCATTTGACTATTGCTTTCAGGTGAATCCCCAATGTTCGTAAAGTTCTAATGTTCGATTTCAGTCTTCGGACACTGTTCACCTCGTTGGAACAGCATCTACTGCACTCGCAGGACCTATTTTCTCTGTCAGATCTTATACGGGTTCACAATAAGGACATGAGCTCACATCTTGAACCGATAGCCCACCTTGCTAGATGTCATATCGAGGCTTGTGAGGTATTGTTTCTTTCACTGTTCAGCACCTTCTGTTTTCCTGCAGTTTTGGAAGCATAATTCCACTGTTTTGGAGGATAATTTTGTTTATTCTTGTTGTTCATTTTTATGCTATCAAGTGCATTTTTTTAAAAACCCCATCATTAATTTCTAGTGGTTCTTTATTGTGTTCGAGAAATGTTTTGTGTGAATTTCCTCACTACACATACTGTTTCAGCACTGCCGCCAGTTCGCTGCCACCTGTGTCTACTGTGAAGACGATAAAGAGCTGCTGTTTCCATTTCAAATGGAAAAAGTCCATAAGTGTGCTTCTTGTGCTTCACTTTCGCACATCAAGTGCCAGACGAAGTTCAGACGAAAAGTGGCATGTCAAAGTGGTTGTAAGAGGTGCCTAAAGGTAGATAAAGACAGGCAGCCCGTGCTAGTTTAGTGCTTTTCAGACCTGTCTGTTTGCATTCGTTAGCCTAGTAATTTGGATTCGCTTAATGATACAGCGACGGGATGTAATGCCGGCCGAGTGATCCATCACCTTTCTAGCGTGAGATTAAATTTTTAACCAGTGATATATGCTTAGCAACTATTTAGAGGCCGTGTTTGGCCACTTCAGTGTACAATATAATGACCAAAAGCTGGCTTCTCGCTACATGAGTGTTTATATTAGAAGGCGCGGCCTAAATACTCGGCGGAAAAGGCGACTTTTTTAGTCCGCCTAAGTGCCAACGGCTCTCGTGCGATCGAATGTTGCTACTGATTTTACAATGAAACAGCCTAGCTGGAGATCTCAAGTGTGTAGAACTTCGGCTCTTAAGCGCTCTGCCGGCAATGAGTTAAGCTAGTTGCTAATGCGTGCAAAAAAAATGCTAGGCGTTCCTGACCCATGCGCTTGTACATTCAGGTTACAGGCGAATTGAAGCCTTAGTCAATGGCCGCAATCAAGAATGTGCACTAATAGAACACAGCCCTCTGATCGATAATTCCGATCGATAACGAATCTCTAGCCGATAATGGGTTTTAGACCCTGCATGGCCGATTTAGTCGGTAAACCAGTCCGCCTTCAGTCATTAAGAAAGAAAAACCTTTATAGAACGAAATAATTAAAATGGTTCGTTTCGCTCCTTCCTCAGACGAACCTTATTATGTCGTCAATCCCCCATGCCTTTGAATAGTCAACGAATTGGATTCTACCCGTGTGAATAAGCCCCGATCACTGCGTTAGGATTCACTTAGTATTTATATTTGGTTGTCACTAAACTCCAGTCGCCATATTAACGGTTAATTGTAACATTTCTTATATGCGTTGTACCTCTTGTAATCACTTAGATGCTAATGTCACTATATCATAATATTTTCTCATTTGCTTTGATAAGTTGTTCGAATGTGTTTGATGAGGGACTGACTCTCTTATTAAAGAAATTTATACAGCTATGTTGTTTCATATTGTTTTCTAAGATACACTGGCCGCCTATCAGCGCGGCCTGGCGGATATCACCTTTTCTTCGCTGGCTATTTTACCTAGCTTGTCTGGTAAAGTAAACTTAAAGGCACAGTCCATGATTATTTGAAAGGAAAAATTCCTTGCCCAGAGGCTAGACTGGTCCACAAGCGCAGTGGTTGTACGAATTTCACCGTTTCAAGGAGGCAGAGCCGCCCAGTTCAAATGCGCTTGGCCATTTTAAAATTCTTGGAAGGTTGAAAACCAGGAAATATCGATAAAGTGCTCGGAAGTCAATCGTAGCAATAAACGGAAAGTACAAAAACGGAAATACTCTGCGCATTCAATTTCGATTTAGAATGATGACGGGATAGGGGCTTTCCGCCTAGAGGTCGGAGTCTTGCTGGAATTGACGTCAGACCGTGTCGTTTGTATCCACGATCTCTTTCCTCGGCGCTCAGTATTTCTTATTTTGCGGCCTGTCTCAGTCACCTCTACGGGCCTAAAAAATAAGGCTCTTATTTTCTTTCCGGTTTCATTTTTCCCCATTTTTTCTTCGCGGTCAATACATTTCTTTGCACCTCCACTTTCATTTCCTAATGAATAGCCGCCGTACCACTATTATGCTGTTATGCAGTGGACAAGCGGTGCGAATGGTCGAGGCCTGTGAAGCTGCTGTGCATTTTTATTTATCAGATGACAGGTTCATAACGCCGACATCTGAAGGTGTTTAGGGGTAGATGGTATCTTATAAGGATGAAGGAAAGGAAGACTGAGTGCCGG